ATTTTTAGCTTTGATTCCTTGACTATGATCAGCCAAACAGCTACTACGAGCACTCCAGAAGATCCAAAAGTAACATAAATGTCACTAAATTCATAGCTGAGCATACAGAAATTAAACAGAATTTCTTAAATTACTATTAATACTAAACTTAAGTACCTAATTTAAAACAACATACATTGAGCTCTTACTATATGCTAAATGTATGTGAAACTAATCCTATTTACAATCCTACAGAGAATGTACTATTATCCTATTTTACAGAATAGTAAACTGAGTCTTTTTTTTTTTTTTTTTTGAGACAGAGTTTCGCTCTTGTTACCCAGGCTGGAGTGCAATGGCGCGATCTCAGCTCACCGCAACCTCCGCCTCCTGGGTTCAGGCAATTCTCCTGCCTCAGCCTCCCGAGTAGCTGGGATTACAGGCACGTGCCACTATGCCCAGCTAATTTTTTGTATTTTTAGTAGGGACGGGGTTTCACTATGTTGACCGGGATGGTCTCGATCTCTTGACCTCGTGATCCACCCGCCTCGGCCTCCCAAAGTGCTGGGATTACAGGCTTGAGCCACCGCGCCCGGCGTAAACTGAGTCTTAAAGAGGTTAAGTAACTTTTCAAGATCTCAAAACCAGTTAGTGACAAAGCCAGGATCAAGCCCAGAGCTTTTCAACTTTTTGAGCCAAAACTTTTTAATCCTATCCTCTGCTGCCTCTCCACAAAAGCCTCAACTCTAACTTCCAAAAACAAAATAAGAATTTTGGTATCAAAAATGCAACCAGCGAGTGCATACAGTGTCACCAGCAATGGACTAGAAACCAGGAAACCTAAGTTCGAATGCCAATTCTCTATTATTGACACACAGGCATAAGACAATGAGCAAATGTGCCTCTGTGGGCTTTCTTTTTTAATCTACAAGATCTGACTGAATATATTTTAAGAATTTGCTTTCCCAGCAGTGAAACTCTAATTCTCCTATTTTAAAAATTACATTAATTTAAATTTTATTTCCATAATGAACTATCTAATTCAATCAATTATGTTAATATGCAAAAGTATATTAGAAAGCATGAAGATTTTCTCACCACTTACTAATTTCTCCCTCCTGTGAACAAACTGCACTTGTTCTGGTACTTAACTATACACTCTTAGGCTAACTTGTAAGAGCCTATATTGCTGACCTCTGCTGGTTATTAAACTCTCCCCTTTTATTTCATTTTCCAAGCATATTTGTCTCACTGTTAGACTAATATTCAAAGACAGAAATATTTCTTCGGTATTTGTTGAATGAATAAACTCAACAGAAAAAAATGAAGGAATACAGCAATTATTCAATAAATACATGTTGACTATACAGAAAACATTTCTCTCTCTCTAGCTTTAAAACCTCATTTTAACAGCTCAAGAGTGGATCCTCAGAAACTTATATAACTAATCATCTATTTTGTTTTGGATCACTACAGATTTCCAGTTATTTCAAGTTTCTTGATGCGCAATGAAAACCATTCAAATTTCATAAAACCATCCACTGAGCCTAGCAAAACCACTAGAATATAAAACAAGGGCTCAACAACAACAACAAAAATGAATTGAATTCAGCAAATAACCTTACAACAACCAATAAAATCAAGTAAACCACTATGGTTATATTACATAAGGAGACTAGACCAAACTACTTTCATGACATGGATCAAATGAAGATGCTTGCAAAAGTATTCCTAACATAAAAGTGAAGGAAAAGAAATGCTAAAAAATGAAAAAGGCAATGGAAACCAAACAGGATTTAATGCAAAAGAAATTAGCACCGTTACCAAATGCGAAATAGCATATATTTGAAAATAAGAGCTTTATCTTCAATTACTGAAAATAAAAACAGATTTTTTAAAAAATGATCATAAAGTGGGCCGGGCGCGGTGGCTCAAGCCTGTAATCCCAGCACTTTGGGAGGCCGAGGCGGGTGGATCACGAGGTCAAGAGATCGAGACCAGCCTGGTCAACATGGTGAAACCCCGTCTCTACTAAAAATACAAAAAATTAGCTGGGCATGGTGGCGTGTGCCTGTAATCCCAGCTACTCAGGAGGCTGAGGCAGGAGAATTGCCTGAACCCAGGAGGCGGAGGTTGCGGTGAGCCAAGATCGTGCCATTGCACTCCAGCCTGGGTTAACAAGAGCGAAACTCCGTCTCAAAAAAAAAAAAAAAAAAAAAAAAAAAAAAAAAAATGATCATAAAGTAACACAAATGAGTCTGGGAACATTTCAGGTTTAAGCAGAGTATCAAATGTTATTTCAAAAATGACTTTTAGCCGGGCGCGGTGGCTCAAGCCTGTAATCCCAGCACTTTGGGAGGCCGAGGCGGGTGGATCACGAGGTCAAGAGATCGAGACCATCCTGGTCAACATGGTGAAACCCCGTCTCTACTAAATATACAAAAAATTAGCTGGGCATGGTGGCACGTGCCTGTAGTCCCAGCTACTCAGGAGGCTGAGGCAGGAGAATTGCCTGAACCCAGGAGGCGGAGGTTGCAGTGAGCCGAGATCGCGCCATTGCACTCCAGCCTGGGTAACAAGAGCGAAACTCCGTCTCAAAAAAAAAAAAAAAAAAAAAAATGACTTTTACATAACTAAGCAAAAGTAAAAAGAAAACAAAATATAGATATAAAACTGTACTGGGGTGCAGGAGAACATAAATGGAAAAATGAAGCGTTGGATACACTGACAGTGCGATTAACAGTCACCAAAAACAGAGACAGATCCTAAGCAGGACTGTAAGATCAAGTCTTCTTTAGACCTAAATGATCTGTCTCTGAAGCATTTTACAAACTTGAATACTCATTGTCCTTTGAGTACATCCACTTATATAGACAAAAAGGATTTATAATGTTATGCCACAATAAATGAGTATTTAAAACAACTCTTGCGTTTACAATTACTATGGCAACCTTATGAATGTCAGAAGAGGAAAGTGTCATGGCAATATGAGATGTCACAAAAGGACAGTCTGGGCTAAGATGAAGACAATGTCTCGCCCTAACAAGAGAGCCAGTTAATATGAAATGAACCATGAAATGGAATGACCAAGTAGAAAATACACAGCCAAATCGTCAGATGCTGAATAAACAGCATCAATGAATTATCTGAATTAGGAAAGGCTAAAAGGTTCTTGATGTTTTATCATCAAAATATTTTAAAGTAACACCCATTTAACAACTTATGAAAGATCTGTTAAAGTCTACGATTTAGGCCGGGCACGGTGGCTCAAGCCTGTAATCCCAGCACTTTGGGAGGCCGAGGCGGGTGGATCACGAGGTTAAGAGATCGAGACCATCCCGGTCAACATGGTGAAACCCCGTCTCTACTAAAAATATTAAAAATTAGCTGGGCGTGGTGGTGCGTGCCTGTAATCCCAGCTACTCAGGAGGCTGAGGCAGGAGAATTGCCTGAACCCAGGAGGCGGAGGATGCGGTGAGCTGAGATCGCGCCACTGCACTACTCCAGCCTGGGTAACAAGAGCGAAACCCCGTCTCAAAAAAAGAAAGTAAGTCTACGATTTAAGAATAACCCGATTTTCCACAACATGGAAGCAAGTCCAATACAAATCGAAACCAAACTGCCACGAAAAAAAGAAAGTCTTAAAATGCAACCATGTCACTGAAAGGTACAGGCCAGTTGTACTGAATTTACTGAATTTTCTTAAGTGACAACAGGGACAATGAAAGAGTGACTGAGTCTAATTCTACACTGCTACAAAGTGAGTCGAGTTGTCAATCAGGATAATTTCATTAAAATAATCCTCCTTGGAATTATCAGGAATAATCAGAGGAGAAATATTTTTCCTCTTCCAGGATTCTTAATGAGAGATAAAACCAGGAGCAAAAAAGATGTAAACTCAACAAGCCAGAAGTGACACTTGTGTGATCACAAATTAGAGTTACTCTTTCATTTTATGGGACTGCAAATTAAGTAACTACTGCACACTGCCAGGGGAGATTGAGAAGTAACTTCAACCAACAGTTGGGAACAAATTACACGTGCTAACAGTTACTCTCATTAGGAAATCCAGAATACTTTTTAAAGAGAGTTATTTAGATGTTGCATTCATTTAAACGCAGACGATGAACATCTCAGCCGCCTTCCTTTGCGGGATTCTGTGCCAAGCCCTTCCGAAGCTGGGGTTGATAAGGTCGACTCCAGGAAGAAAAGCAGCTCAAGTAGGAAATGGTATCCTCGTATAGCCCAGAGAACCGGTGACGCACCAGGAGCTTGGAAAATATCCCATCGTTTACCTTGCTAGAAGCACTTGGGGAGGGAAGAGGTTGTCCACGTGCACTATTGTTTTCCAGATATGTTTATTTATTTTTAACTTTTGCTTTGGTATCAATACCCTCAACCTCAGCCTTACAGGGAGAGGGGGGATGGCAGCGCCACTGGTGGTATTTGGGTGCAACACAAGTTTAAAAAATAAAAACACAACCTTTTTTTTTTTTTTTTTTTTTAAATTGCAGCACACTCGGCGCCCTCACCTCTCTCCTCCTCCACACCTCTGCCAATACCCCCACGCAGCTCTCCGCCGCCGCCACCTCGGGTCCCCATGACAACCCCACTCCAGGCCGGGCCCCCCTCCGCCGCCTCCGGGCCCTGCCAGCCACACTTGCCTGACAAGGGGCGACTCCACCTGCCCTCGGCTCTCACTCTCCCCGCTCCTGAGAGGCGGGCCAGGACCCCTCCGGGCGCGCGGGCCCAGTCCCAGCTGCGGGCACGACCCCCACCAGTCGGGGACGTGGGGAAGGACGGCCGGGCACGAGCTGAGGAGGTTCCACCCCAAACCCCAAACCCCAAACGAGTGACGCGGGGGTCTGGGCGCGACCCCAAATGGGGTACGGCAGCCCCGCGCCCCTCTCTGGGCTGCTAAGGGGAGCCGAGGGGCAGGTGCCGTGGACGCGAAGGAACTCGTCCGTTTTCACAGACAACGACGCGTGGCGGCGGCCGGAGACGCTGGGGCCGTAGCTCACCTTGAAGGGATTGTTGAGATCCGGGTCGGCAAACGGGTTACTGTCGAAATCCGACATCTCTCTGGCTCTCGGCGTCACCCACCCGACCCAGACGCAGAGAGAGAGACGAGGCGAGGCCGCCGCCCCCCTGCGCGCTCACGTCGCCGCCGCCGCCGCCGAGCAGATCCGGGTGCAGCTCGCGGGCCACCCAGCCGGCCGCGCCACTGAGCATGCCCGGTGCGACCGGCTCCCGGCCGCGGCGCCGCTCGCGTTTGCAGTCCCGTTCCTCCGGATCTGGACCCCGCGCTCCGGACTTTGGCTGCGACCGAGTAGGGAGCGGGGGCGGAGAAGCCGGGAACCGAGAGCGGAGGAGGAGCGTCCCACACTCCCAGAGCCCGCGGGATTCTCGGGGAGTGCGCCGCGCTTCCCCTCCGCTCTTGTGCGGAGGCCGGCTACGTCCGCCCGGGCTCGGGCTGCTCAGCACCGGTTTCAAATCAGTTCCCCGAGCCCAGCGTGACTTAGGGAAGTGGTGGCATTTTGTGAGAAGGACGTACACCTGCCAGGTTCGGGGAGGCGGGCCCCGCACCCCGAGGCCATTAGACTGTGGGGCAAGGGGAACCGGAGAGGCTTCGGCACCTCCTTCCGCAGGTCACGTCCCTGGGGCGGGGACGCGGCTTTTCCCACGGATTTTTGCTCACCTATGACCCCACCTGAGAATCCCGGCCTCCCGTCTTCCGGTCTCCCCAATTCTAGGTTGCTGCTAAATCACGGAGAACAGCCTTGGCGCCGCCGGTCCCAACTTGATCCAAGGAGCCTTGTGAAGGAGATGAGATTCAGTGCCAGGGACTGGCCCCAGCTCCCGTCCTCTGGAATCTGCAAAATGGCTACTTCTTCAGAAATGGTGGGTAGAGGAATGGCAAGAGCCCAGAGATCAAGGCCGTCGAGTGAATACATTTGGGCACAAAAATGGACACTTTTGGATTTTCCCTAATCTTTTCCAACACCAAGAATGAGATTATCAAAAGATGTGTAAGAAATTCATTTGTACCATTCTTTGCACCCCCACCCCCGAAACTTATTCAGAGAGCATTGTTTTCCTCACTTTCCTCTTCCTTCTCCCCTAACAGAAAAGCTGCAGGGAGCTTTTAGATCAAGCTACAGGGAGCCAGAATTCTTTTGACTTGGTGGGTACCTGAGAGTTGGAAGGATCTAGACTGAGTAGTCTTTGGCCTTTGGAGAGCTGGCACTTTGCACAGTCACCTAGGAAACGATACTTTCCCCCCACTGTGAAACACCAGCTAGAGATGATGGACAAAAAGCACATTTGCTCTAATTTCCCTTCGACGGGATCCAGTTTGGGATAGATGTCGAAGCAGCTCCTTCCAGGTAATCCACGAAGATGTCAACTACTAAGTGACAACAGACAAGGATGATCACAGCAGAGTTGTAAGATTCTAGATATGAAAAAAGAGCAAGCAGTCTGTTGTGCTCACCATCGCATCTTCAGCTGCTGCCCAGTGCCTGGTTTTAACTTAGTGCTCAGTGTATGTGTCAGGTTTGAATCCCAATTCTGACACTACCCGTGCTACACTCTTCACCTCTCTGAATCTGTCTGTAAAGGCTTATTTAAGAATTAAATGAAACAGGATACAGAAAAATGTCCTGCATGTATATTTAGTGCCTAACAAATATTGGTTGAACGTCGAAAGTGGCAAGGAGGCTCAGTATGTTCTTACGTGCTTTGCCACCTTTCTCCAGAGCAAGTGTGCCCTTGCCCAACTCATCTGCTTCTCTGACCACGTTTGCCCTCACACCCTCCCTCCACCTGTCCTCCAAATGACTCAAAATAATCACTATTTAGTGTGCATCTACTATGCTCCAAGACAATGAGGATCCGTTGAGCCTGCATTGCAGGATGGAAATTTCCAGCTATATTCTGTTTATGATGATGATATTTGCACCTAACGCAAAGGTTTACGAACTTTACTGTAATTATAGAATCATTTGGAATACCTCTTAAAGATGCCCACCTCTCCATACCTCCCATTCCTAAGATTCTACTGGAAGGCATCCGAGATAGGGGCTCTGGATCTGCTTTTCTTATTTTTTACGTCTTTATACATTATTTTACATAAATGTATAAATGGAGTCATGACATACATGTTGAATTTTTCACTTAAAAATTTTTCGTATTCCTTGTATTTCCTCTTCCCCTACATTAACAACCTAGTACATTTCTTTAAAAAAATCTTATAATAGTGTGTATCTCCACTAAGATCAAATAACATGTAATTGTATAAAGCATAATACATATTCATGCAGATATACATACACTCTAATACTGAGCTTTGGCATTGTCTGAAAAAGAGACCATATACATATTTTTCTGCAGCTGTTTTTCTCAGTACTTATGCCAGCGTTTCTCAGCAAGATGTGCATTGGCAGAGAGACGGCCTTAAGGTTTCTTCCCCTTTTATGCCACATAAATACCACTTTTTGTGTGTAGCATGCCTATAGAGTGAAAAGGGAAGCATGGTCTAATGGAAACCATACATCTAATTCATTATTCTTAACTGGAAAATTACATATAAGGATCTCAGGTGATTGATTTTTATTTATTTAGTTTTTGAGACAAAGTCTTACTCTGTCACAAGCTAAAATGCAGTGGCACAATCTTGGCTTGCTGCAAACTACACCTCCCAGGTTTAAGCAATTCTCCTGCCTCAGCCTCCTGAGTAGTTGAGATTATAGGCACGCACCACCACACCTGGCTGATTTTTGTATTTTTAGTAGAGAAAGTATTTCACTATGTGGGCTGGGCTGGCTCGAACTCCTAACCTCAAGTGCCCCAGCCTGCCTCTGCCTTTCAGGGTGCTGAGATTATAGGCATGAGCCATTGCACTCAGCTGACCTCAGATGATTTTGATAGTGGTTGACCACACTTTGGGAACACTGATAGGAGAATATGCAGACATATAGTCCATGGGTGAAGGTCTTAATTGGTTTATGTTGCTATAAGGGAATACCGGAGGCTGGATGATGTATGAAGAAACAAGGTTTATTTGACTTATGGTTCTGCAGGCTGTCAGCTTCAGATGAGGGCCTTATGCTGCTTCCACTCATGGCAGAAGGCAAAGGGGATCCTTGGTGCAGAGATCACATGGCTAGCATGCAAGAGGGGATATGGGGATACAAAAAGAGAGAAGATGATGCTAGGCTTTTTTCAACAACCTGTCCTCAAGGGTGAGAACTCACTCTCAGGAGAATAGCACAAAGCCAACATGACACTTGCAGGTCCAAAGCCGTACCCAAACCATAGCAGGGAGCTTATTAATTCATTAGCCTTCATGAAATTCAGAATTACAGGGTATGAGTGCTGAGAAGGAACCTCTGCCTCTCTCATGACTGAAGAAACTGGAGTTTGGACAGGTTAAGTAATTTGCCTCTGACACCAAGGAAGTGAATGGGGAAATGGGGAACAGAACTCAGATCTCTTGACTCATGTTTTAGATATTAAATTGATAGGTTTGGTTAGTAATACTTTCATATAGAAGGAAGAAATGCAATGTACCAGGTAGAAAGTATGCAAGAGGCCTCTTTGCGTGCAGTGGTTCATTTTGTGGAAGCTGCCTCCTAAATTTGGTAGAACAAAGAATCAAAACCAGTCTAGGCCCAGCTCTCCTGCAAACCAGTGGTTTGATCTTTATCATATCAACTCACCTTTCTAACCAGAGTTTCTACTCTAGTATGTCATTCAAGTATTTCTTGAGCCACTACAACAGTGATGTTGTGGATAAAGTAGTAAACCAGATACAAGGGTAGGGCCTGCTTCAGAAAACTTCCTAAAAGGCCTAGAACATGGGTAAATGATATCTCAAATCCTTTGGACAGTTCTAACCTTCTGTTAATCTGGGACAGTGGCTCGCTCCTCCCTAACTCTTTCTTTTTCCCTCAGAATGTGCCTCACACCATTATCATGCTGCTTCTCCTCAGTCTGACACATGTAATTGGTGAACCTATTGAGCAGGGTCTAGAGTCTGAATTCCTTGTTTTCTAAACTGGCTAGCTTATAGCTGGGGAATGCTAGGAAAATGCCATGTTAGATATTTATGTTTCTTACCTCAAAAGATTCACTGGATTCTGGATTCACTGATGGGTCAGAACTGAAATCCATCATCTCTTGCAGTGGGTCCCAGATTTGCTGCTGTGTCTTCTGATACCCTCCACAGCCCAACATGAGCCTATTTGGCCCCTGTTCTATTACTGGCTACGTTTTCAGGAGATATCAGAGGAGATGAAGGCATTGTGAGGTAGGCCAGATAATCCCCCCTCCCCCAAAGATGTCCATGGTGTAATCCCTAGAACCTGTAAATATGTTCCTTTACATGGCAAAAGAGACTTTGCAGGTGTAATTAAGGTTAAGAACCTTGAGAGGAAGGGATTATCCTGGATTATTCAAGTAGGCACAATGTAATCACGAGTCCTTAAAAGTGGAAGAGAAAGGCAGAAGAGTTGCTGACTTTGAAGATTGAGGAAGGGGTTCATGAACTAGGGCATGTGAGTGGCTTCTAGAAGCTGGAAAGAACCCTCAGCTGACAGCCAACAAGGAGATGGAGATTTCAGTCTCGTAGACTCAAGGAACTAAATTCTACCAATGTTTGATGTACAAGGAAATAGGTTTTTCCCTCAAGTCTCCAGAAAGGAACCCAGCCTTGCTGACGCTTTGATTTTAGACTGGTGAAATTCATGCTGGACTTATGACCTACAGAACTGTAAAAATAAATATTGATTTCTAGTAGCAAAATAACAAAAATAAATAAATAAATTTCTTTATTGTACAGACGATTTTGTTTTAAAAAAAGGAAAAACAAATGTTTGTATTAAGATGCAAAATTTGTAGTAATTTGTTACAGCAGATAGAAAATCTAATACAGAGGCTTCTTGATCTACAAGGAGCTATATGCTGATAATCCCCATCATAAGGTGAAACTATATTTAATACCCCAGTAAACTCATTGTAAAGTCAAAAATCATTAGTCAAACCATTGCAAGTCAGGGACCACCTGTCCACACCACTAGGGTGTGGAAAATAGAAGAAGAAAGAAAAGGGACACACTCAGTTTCCTCGTGTGCCAGGAGACTTCCACACAGCAGAACCAAGGGAAAAATGTAAACAGGTATTGATGAAAAGAAAGTGAATGTCATTTGACTTGTCCTGAGTTGAAAACTCTCAGTTATGCCCAACTTTTAACTAGCTATGTAAATAGCATGGAGACAGTATTTTTTTTTTAAAGGAATATACAAACCCTCTATATTTGACTTTGGAGTCAAAGTTTACTATTAATAAAGGGAAAAAGCAGATTTTCCACTCTTCCTCCTCATCAAATTCTGCAATACTCTCAGAATACGTGTTACTCTGTCTTATAATTGATGTCTGCATCACATATCTCCCAATTGGCCATAACACCTTGAAGGCAGGGTTTGTATGTTTTTCAACCTCGTCACTCCAGCATCTGACATGGTGCTGGCAAATGTGAATCAATTAGTGGATGAATGAATAAATGCTACAGCTTCCATCTGAGGCTTAACATCTTTGCTTCCATTACCAAAATACTATTGGAATGATTCTTCCATCATTGCAAATGCTATCTTCTTAGAAGTTTTTATTAAGTACTTCTTCGCCTAAAAACCTTTATGGTCTCCTTGTCAGCTATAGGAGAATTCAATATCATATCACTCAAGGTCCTTCCTCACAAGGCCTCAGCCTATGCTTTCAGCCTTACCTTTCTCCCACTGGCTCTCTACATCCATTTATTTACGTATCTGCTTCCCCTTCTCCTTTTTTTTTTTCTTCAAATTTTAGGGCTTGTAGTGCAACCCACTAGTGGGTCATAAAGTCAGTTTAGAAGGTTATGACCAGCACATTTTTAAAAGAGAACAGAAAATATCCAAGCATGTGGCACGCTATAAACAGAAGTTGCACAAAACCTTTGTTTCAGTTGTGTGTATGTGCGTGCCACATTTCAAATTTATTTCTTGTGGTCATGGCTCGAAAGTGAGAATTCCTCAAGGACAGATTATGTTTTATTTTATTAAGATTGTTGGCTTTTGGCCGGGCGTGATGGCTCAAGCCTGTAATCCCAGCACTTTGGGAGGCCGAGGCAGGTGGATCACAAGGTCAAGAGATCGAGACCATCCTGGTCAACATGGTGAAACCCTGTCTCTACTAAAAATACAAAAAATTAGCTGGGCATGGTGGCACGTGCCTGTAATCCCAGCTACTCAGGAGGCTGAGGCAGGAGAATTGCTTGAATCCAGGAGGCGGAGGTTGCGGTGAGCCAAGATCGCGCCATTGCACTCCAGCCTGGGTAACAAGAGCCAAACTCTGTCTCAAAAAAAAAAAAAAAAAAAAGATTGTTGGCTTTTATTATTCCCAGTACTTGTCACAGTGGCTGGTAAAAGAATTATAACTTGTTTATTTGTTGAATGAACCAGACTGAACTAAGAGTATTTTGGAGTTAAAGATTGCAGAGCTATGCCAACAGCACAAAGTCAAGTAGTGTGGCCTTCCTCAAGGGATCAAGGCAGTCTGTCTGTCTCTATGGGTCTCCCTCAATTCTCCCACATTATCACAGCATATGCACTTGGGTCCCAATGG